AAATATTAGGAAAATTTAGCATCTTTTTACGGGTGAAAACGCATTAATTTGGAAATTCTTGCAAAAATCAAATAATTGTCTAAATTTAATGAAACTTTCTTTACTTACTCATAAATGAATTAAATCATTTTTTAAATCTTTCTTTTTTAGAACAAATTCGTGAAAACATTTATTTATATCTGTTAATCCCTCACCACATTACTTTAAACCAGAACTCCGAGAAGAATTTAAACCATCAGGATGGTAAAATAAAAAATGCAATAAAACTAAGGCATTATTTATTTGGAAAATCTTTTAATTGCTTTTATGAATAAGATATATTATGGACACTATTGACTAAAGAAAAAAAATTCGAGGAATAATGAATTTTTACAGGAATTGTTTTTTTTTTTTTTTATTAATTTAATTAGAATAATTTATAAACGTTTAAATCTTTGTATTTTTGTATTAATTTGTACCGGTTAAATGTTATTGTTATTAAGTAAAAATTATGGAAATGCTTACTAGAATACAGAGACCCCCAATATTTAAAAAAAGAATTTTGAAAATTTTTCTGTGTGTGTATAAACATGTCGCGTTTTGTAAATACGTACATCCTTACGCGACATTATCAGAGAATAAGAGCCATAAATATAGTAAATTTAAAGTAAAGTTTATAATATTCAATAAAACATTAGATTATGGAGAATATTTTCCTAAATGTTAAGATTACTGAGTAGTTAAAAATTATATAAAAATAGCGTTCCTTTTATATTCCTCAAGTAATTTTTACAGATATGTTCCCCGTAGAAAAATATAATAAAATATAATTTCGGCTATCAGTAAAGCTGCCAACTTGTCAACACCCTAAATAAATATCTACATCCTTGTTAAAAAAAAAAAAATGATTTCCTGCGATATTTTAAACTAAAAGTAAGTAATTTTTTTTTTTCAAATCAGTTTAATTAAAGTTTAAATCAACTAATATTCCGCAAATAATGTTTCGGAAAAGTATATTATATTTTTGAAAGATGTCTAAAAAATATATTTTGCTTATTGGAAATATTAAATTTAATCTATTAGCTTGAAATTAAAACCAAAATAAAAGCTTGAAAAAGTATTTTTGATTTTTTTTTAAATTTATTTTAAACCTAAGGTTTCTTTGGACACACACGCGCGCACGCACGTGTGTGTGTGTGTGTGTGTGTGTGTGTGTGTGAGTTGACGAGAAATTGTAGGACAAAATGGAAAAAATTTATTTGTGACGAGTTTCATCAGTTAGGATAACAACAGATGAAATGCTTCACAAATAACCTTTTTATATTTTGTCTTACAATGTTTTCAACACTGTTCTAGATAAGTAAAAATATATATCGTTATCTCATTCACACACACACACACACACATATATATATATATATATATATATATATAGTTGTGGATAATCTGTTCGAATTAAACCACAACTTCAAGCAAAACCTACTCAAATGCTAATTCAATAACTGGGAAAATCCCATAAAAATTAAAGACTCATGTGAACGGTTCTTTTTTTTTTTTTTTTGCTTGAATATTCACTCCATAAGTATAATATATCAAGAAACATCGATGTCGGGATAAAATTGATATTCACAAGTTAAGTAGTCTTTTCATATAACATCATTAACACTATATTTTAATATTATTTAAATATTTTTACTTTTTGAGCACTATATATAAAAAAATTTCTGCAGTTTATTAATATATATATATATATATATATATATATATATATATATATAGCGTTTGGATCTGAGAATAAAACAACACTTACCCGCCCCCAGGATTTTGAATTCGGATGCCAGGAAAAGCCAACCAAGCAATACTTCTGGCTCCGCTATTGCAGAGCATGTAATAAATAGCAGGAATTTTGTTTTTGATTTTAGTGGCGACAGTTTTTCGATTTTATCTAGGTCCCACTCCTCATATCACCTCAAGGTTCTAATGTCCTTGTATATCAGACCCCGCGGGCCTTCCCTTTGTAAAGAGTAGGAATGCTTACTGGGTCTGAATTTTATGTGACTCTAGTTTTCTTGAAAATCAATTTTTTTTCTTTCCATTCTTTATATTAATTTAATTTACACGCTTATATATATTTTTTTTTGTCCCTTTTGGGACGAAACTGTTTGTTTTTTAGCTTTTTAAAATATAAATTTTGCTTTATCCAAGCTATCGTTAAATTTTGTACCGTAAAAAACTAATTTAAATATATATATATATATATATATATATATATATATATATATATAGATATATATAGATAGATAGACATGGTAATGGGCAGCAGATCCTCATTTTAACATATATTGTTATTTAAACATTTATTGTTAAATAGAACAGACAAAGAATGTTTAATATGTTTGATCATGAGCCGTTCTAAACTCCATGTATTTGCTTTTATGTGGAATATTCTTCGATATCAAAAGACAAAATATTATTCTGTTTGTGTGATGTCTCGGAGTGAGGCGAAATGAGGGCAAGGACAATCGAGAATATTCCACGAAAAATAAAGGGAGACATACGAACATTAGAACGGCATTAGATTGAATTTAAAAAAAATGTTTAAAATTAATTATATTTTATATATGTATATATATAAAATTATCCATTTTTGATTCCAACACGCTACATAAGAGTTTCATGTTTCAAAACAAGCCGAAAAACCAGATTAAATTGAAACACGTGTCGTGAAGAAATTATGAAATTTAAAACAAAGTATAATATTTTTTCTCAATAAATCCACATTACAACCAAAAAACGTTTACCGGCGATTCCCTATTTTCTATATATTTTTAATATATATATATATATATATATATATATATATATATATATATATATAGTTACTTCAAAAAAAATATTATATTGGAAATATTAAATTTAGTCGATTAGCTTACAATGTTTGTTCAACCCCTAGGGTTAACCGTTTGACCTCACATATCCGGATAGACTATAAAATCCTCTGCTTTGAATGGCTCTTGGTTTTTGTACAGATTGAACATCATTAAAAAGAAAACTAATTCAAATTATAGGTATCGCTTTATTTGTTTTACATTTTATCCGGATATGTGGTGTTGAATGTTAGGCTTGAACAAATTAACATTTTAGTGAAAGCAACGCTTCTTGGGAAGAAGTTTCTAGAGTGAAATTTACATCCCACCAATGGAATACCAAATGAATGAATTTTAAAAATGAAAACTTTCTTGAAACTTTTATTTTAACTTTAATTCTAAGTTAATCGACTAGATTTAATATTTCCACTAAACAAAATACTTTGCTGTATTTCAAACCGAATTTAAATTGATTGGAATTTTTTTCGCTTGAAATCTCTAAAATACTTATAGTAATAGTTTAGTAAGAACTGAAGTAGTCTAGGTGGATATGAACAGTAGGAAACCCGTGGCAACTTATCTTCATTAATTTTTATTAAAACGGCATTTTCAACGTCAAAATTGTTACATTAAAAATCCAGCGTTCATCTGCTTAACATGAGTCACATTTTATCTCGCTAAAGTAGATTTTTTATATAAAATACTTTCTTCCTAATGACGTCACTTCATAGGCAAAATATGTCAAAATAGAAGCTTACAAATTGTCTTTATACCATTCTGCAGGATTCTTATCCAAACTTTACTCACATGAAAGAATTTCTGTATTAATACGTCCGCTGAGCAAAAATAAATATCTGTTACAATTATATATATATATATATATATATATATATATATATATATATATATATATATATATATATATATGAGTGTGTGTGTTCTTTTACAGAGAAAAGCTTATTATTCAGTATTTGACGATTGGCCCAAATACACAGATGTTTCTATATCATTTTGTCTCTTTCAATCTTTCTTTCATTCATCCTTTATTTTTTTATGCTTTGTCTTTATTCACACTGCTTTTTATGTATATTTACCTACCTATGTAAATCTATCTATCTTCGTTAAAATATATGTGTGTGTATGTGTGTTTATGTATGTGTATATGTTTGTATATATCTTTTTTTTATCTATCTTTCTTTCGTTTCTCTCTCTACACACGTACATATATATATATATATATATATATATATATATATATATATATATATATGCTTATCCTTATGTGCGTATATATATGCATACATAAACACGCACACACACACACACACATATATATATATATATATATATATATATATATATATATATATATATTAATGAATATACATTTTATCCTTTAGCGATAGCACGACTTGGAGTTTCCTGCATATATATATATATATATATATGTGTGTGTGTGTGTGGATAAGTATTTATATGTTGTTTTTTTTTTTTTTTTTTCTTATCTAGGTCGATGTACATCGCGTGAGTTATTCCATCGCTCGCTCGCTCGCCTGCAAAAGCACTGAAGAGGAAGAGACGTCGGCTGGATAGACACTTGGCTGGTCTCTCAAACATTTAACTTTGCCGACTGATTGCTGTCTGCCTGCCTCACGCAAATATCCAGACATCATTATTGAAGAACCAGTTTTACATAATTACTTTCTAGGGAAAGCCCACTGTCTAACACATTAACTTCCTCTCTTTAAAGCATATAGTTCAAGTTCTGTTGCTAGTTTCCTCATGTTTGTGTGTGTGTATATGGGGGTGTCTCGTTTTGTTTTGTTTTTTATTTTACTAAAGTTAACACAATACAAGTCCGAAGAGCCACTCAAAGATGATTACGTAATTGGGAAGAAGAAGGAAGTGAAACTGGCATCGATATGGAAGATGGAAACCGATTGGCCATAGATTTGAAAAGGTGAAGTTTGTAGTTTTTTTCCAATGATCTACCGAGAATTTGGTTTTTGTATAATGCTGGACTATTGCAATGGAAACTCTAGTCATGTTCTTAAATAGCCTCATCAAATCGAGAATTTCATATGGATTTCATATATGACACTAGACTAGCTTAGAAATATTTGAACTGTCAAGTGTTTACAGCCGATTCATTACTTCAAGGATTAAAAATAGATAGATAGATAGATAGATAGATAGATAGATAGATAGATAGATAGATAGATAGATAGATAGATGAACAGGCTGAGATAGATAGATAGATAGATAGATAGATAGATAGATAGATAGATAGATAGATAGATAGATAGATATCCATCTATCTATCCCTATGAAATCTATCACAAGAATTCAGAATGTGGAATTTTTAAACACGAAATACTTCAAATAACTATGTGTATGGATCAGCTCGAGTCGTGTTCTTAAATAGCCTCGTCAAATCTAGACTTTTCATCTGGATGCCATACATGGCGCCAAACCCAAACCAGAAATATCGAAATTATCAGCTGTATACAACCGCTTTCTAAGATCAATAGTTGAAAATGGCTTTCATTGCTTGAAACGTATGAATCTTGACGAAGGCCACATTTCTTCGGATCTTGTGGACTAGGGTTACAGATTCAAGAATAAAGAACGGACCAAATAACACAAACCACATCACCTAAGGACTTTCAACAGCAGTAACAGCTAAAATGGATTTCAGATGTAGCTCGAAAAGAAAATAATGCAATAATCAAGATGTTGACATTCTACACTACTTCAAAGAGAAGTTTGGGAAGGGAAAGAAAGCCCATCATTACTGGAAAGCGATAGTAGCTTCTGTACTTTAGTAAACTATTTTTCCTGAAATATTGTTTCAAGAAAAAGTTTTAATAAATTTCAACCGACAATAGTTCTCATTGAATGCTGAATGTTTTCTTATAAGGAAAAGTTAATATTACAATTTCCATCACTATTATGACAAGAACCAAAATGTTATTGTTTAGCGTTCCTAACTAAAAAGTTTCGAAAACCCAATAACATTTTTGATCTTGTCTATAAATACTTGTTACAAAATAAAATGCACTTGCCTTGATAAAGTTCCCCAGAGGACGAAACACGTTAACTAATATAAGATTTTTTGTCTTTATTCATATATATATATATATATATATATATATATATATATATATATATATATATATATATATATATATATATATATATATATATATATATATATATATATATATATATATATATATATATATATATATATATATATATATATATATATATATATATATATATATATATATATATATATATATATATATATATATATATATATATATATATATATATTAAAAGATGTACGGTGTAGTAATGGATAATAGTGGCTTGGATTTAGGAATCGGAGAACTGAGTTCGAATTCCAGTCGAATCCATGACATTCACTTACGTGCTAATACCCTTCTTCTCCCTCCAGCTATGGGTAAATAGCAGGACAGACTGGGTTCTATAGCCTTGGATGGCAACTGGTCTAGGAGAAGGAAAACTCTGAATTCAAAACCTGCAGAGGGTCGTTTGGGGACCTTGTGGCACGTAGTGCACCAGGTCTCTGTATTCGGCCCTTCAAAAAGTGTATATGGTCCTGGACGAAACCTTCGCCACTATAATCAAATCTCATGTGCTGTTGTCGGGCTGTTGGTTTCCTGGGAACTGATCTGCTTGACCCTCATACGTTGTATTCGACGGGAGAGTTGAGTACATATATATATATATATATATATATATATATATATATATAATATATATATATATATATTCAACGCCATATTCGATTCAAAACATAAAACACCAGAGGTGTTGAAACCAAAAATGGCTATTTTTTAGTGATTCTATAACATATTTATGTTATAATTTTCGGATAAATAATTTATATATATATATATATATAAAAGTAATTCATCGAGTATAGAAGAAACCTCAACAGAATGCAGAAAGCACTGGACGCCCATTTCGTCCTATATTTGGACTCATCAGCAAGCAGTGCACTACTGAGAATTGAAATCCGGACAGTTACATTGACAGGCAAACGTCATACCAACTGTACCAAATGGCTTTGGTGACGAAGAGGTAGCTAACTAAACTCGATATTGCGCCGCTCGTTCACATATTCCGTGGTGGAACTCATCCAAGTTTCCTTTACCAGTAGGACTGTGCCTCCGAGAGCCACGACTACCATCACCAAGCTCCACCATTCAGAGCATTAGAAGCCGGTTCAAGCAAGAATATACAAATGGTAGAAATATATATATATTGGACTTCAGTAATTGTACCAATATTTATTCTTTGGCTTCCATCCTTCAAAGTCCATTCAAGAACCATCAAGAGAATGGTGAATATATTTAAAAAAAGGGAACAGCAGAGAGGAAAACTGGATCAAGAGGTCACAACAGCAAGAGGGATTATCACTTCAACTTAGAACTAAACAAATCAATTAGAAAAGAGCCAACTCAATCCATAAGATGTTTGACAGTCCAAATAGCAGTGAAAACAGACTTGAAAATAAAATCGTTACTCCAGGACATCAAGTCAGAAGATTAGAGATGGCGAAGATAATCTTGAATAAGTTGGAAAATGTTCCTTGAATAATATATATATATATATATATATATATATATATATATATATATATATATATTATGCTAAGTATCTGAATCTCGTGAAGGGTTGAAATAAAATTAACAGGATTAGAATTAGGAGAATTCTAGTAAGATATTTTTAATAATTTCTAAGCTTAATCAAACAACTGAAAAATTTTCTTGTTCTTCGATTTGGACAATTTTGCTGTTACATCCAGAATATATATATATATATATATATATATATAGATATATATAGGGTACACGATCTTTTTAGGCGTGAATCTGACAGTTGGATTCTAACTATATATATATATATATATATATATATATATATATATATATATATATATATATATATATAAAACTCAGACACTAATATTCCATGGTTATAATTTATTACATCGGAATAGTAATCACGATCCAATTCATCAGACCTACAAATTCAAAAAAAATTCGGAAAAAGTTGTACAATACACACACACACACACATATATATATATATATATACATACACACACATACACTATTATATATATATATATATATATATATGAGAGTGTATGTGTATGTGTGCACTCGCGTCTGTGTGTGAGAGACAATAACTGTATGTTCATATTTATACGAGGGTGTGTCAATAAATCCGTTTCAGTCATCTGAATTTTGATCTGAAATTTTCACTGTATAATGTTACGTCTATGTGATTAATGGAGAAGCGTTGAATTAAGCGCAGGAAGGAGATTATCCGTTTCTCCGGGCATTTCACGCATGTCTTGATATCACTCCGCCATGAAATTAGGACCGTCCTTTTCACACTATTACAAACATATATATTTATTACATCAAAAGTCATTTTTTTTAGTGGATACCCGTATTTGAGTAGACGCTCCGTTTATTTTTATGATCTCTTCCGACATGAAGTGGAAAGTTTATATTGAATCAATTGCCGTCCGCAGTTTTCATGCACGGCTATATTCGTGCTACAGCCCAGCTATTGCTGTTAGATCAACCTGGGTGGTACAGTGACCATCTTTCTCACTCCAATGCTCATTCTGCAAATAAATCATGTTCGCCTTCACTGGCTGCCACACCTATACTTCTTCAAGGTGGGGAAGACTGAAACTATGTAATGCTCTCTCTAATAATAGTTCAGTTTATTTTGTGCTGTTGCTGGTGGTAGTCACTGACAGCTCTATACGAGTATGCTTGTCTACTAGAGCGACTAGCCAATCCCCGTTGCAGACGCCTGTTCAGGCACATCAATGTTTGTTCAACACCCACAGAGCCAAACTGTGGCGTGTACTGCAACTATGATGAGCGGGCCTTAGCTAAAGTTTCTGAGAGAGAGAGAGAGAGAGAGAGAGAGAGAGCATTTTCTGGCGTGATCAACAGACCGAAAAAGTCCAGTAAACTCAAACCCTCAATCACGATGACTTCTGACTACTTGCTAGCACAACTATCGATAGCTAGTTCCGTCTATCAAAATCCCCTCAAAACGTTTGGGTCAACTCGAGGTATGGTGACCTCACGCTGAAATCGCATTTCTAGGCCGATAGGATCAATATATATATATATATATATATGATTTTTTCTGTAGTTCACTGGTACCAGCAAGCAAAAATATTTCTTCTCCTGATGATGGCCATTTTGGACGAAACTAGTCGAGAAATCTAAATGAAATAATAAAAAAAAAAAAAAAAAAAAAAAACGAAAGATTTTAATTTTTTAATATTTTTCTTGTTCAATATATATATATATATATATATATATATATATATATATATATAGTATATATATATTGTACTTGTCTTGTACCAGAATAAATGATACTTTCATCATGGGAAAATTTATTAATTCGTTTATATGATTTTATAATTTATATATATATATATATATATATATATATATATATATGTAGTAAAAAGACCTCCCGGGCGTTGTATAGGAAGTTAAGAAAGATCTGGTAGCCTAATGTTTATCCAGATATTGACAAAAGAGATTTCTATACGTAAAGTTGGAAGAAATGTAAACCTAATATTTACTCAGTTATTGCAAAAAAGGTTTTATATGCAAATTTGTCATATGCGGTAGTCTAATGTTTACCCAGATTATGCAAGGTTTTATATTTAAAGTTGCAATATCTAGGAGACAATTTTTCTTTTACTTTTTTAAATCATTCACTTTCAATGAAGGCGATAAAGCCACTGAAAGGTCTGAATGAGTGTAAGAAACCAAAAGAAAAAAACATTATTGAGAAGAGAGGACAATAAAAGAACAGGATGTAAGCAAATAGAAGATGACGATTGACGTTGCATATAATTATCCGAAGATCGTAATTGTCAGGAAAGCTAGAATCGCGAAGGGAACAGTTATTAATATAGAACATACGGCTACATCTAATAATTTTAACAGTCAAAAAATGAGACCTACCTGACAATCTAGCATTGAGCTGAAATTCGTGAAGTCACACAGATACTGTTAAAAGAGTGGTTTTATATGAACATTTGAGAGGTCTCGCTAATATTTATACAGATGCTATAGACTACCACTAAATGTAACATATCCAACATAATGAAAAATGTAATATTAAACGTAATTAGGAAAAATGTTTTAACAGTAAAAACAGTATTAGACACAACTTTAATACGATTAAAATAGCCACGCTGTTTATTGCTAAATTCTTTTCACAAATATTAACCGTTTCGCGGCTTTAATTGGAAGCCATTTTTAATATAATGAAAACGAAAAACATCTTGTCTACAACCTTCTTATATTATCATGAAATAAAATCAGCAACACAAGAATCACACGAAAAACTACTATAGACGCAGACAACCAAAGAGACATTGTCGTCCATGATAAGAAAAGCGAAGTCTAATTGATGCTATGATTCCAGACGATGCAAATCTCAACGAATAAAAAAAAAGATAAAACAATTGTTCAAATATCAGAATATGGTGATCTATATTTAATGAATATTGTATGCTAAAACTATGACGTTAACAGCTGATATTTAACACTAAGCACTGTTACGACGGAAATTAACAACCAAAATGAGCAGATTGTCATAAAAAAGATTTAGAAATACAATTTTTCCTAAGAATTTTACATATTCCGAGGTAATTTCTCGTATAATCTAAATAGTAGATAGATTAGTGAGGTTTGGTCACCGTCTGAAAACCGACAGTGAAGTCGTGCTTAGATGATTGTCTAATATCCGCTTCGTAAAGAGGAAACGATGAAGAATTTAGGTTTCATTTCAATGTTGTATGCACAGTAGGACAAGATTAAAAGAGAAAGCTCTTTGCGTCACTCAATCCAGACGAGCAGGAAGAGGATTCCAGAGAATAAAATAAGTCATATTCTTTCGGTCTTTCAAATCCAAATGGGTCAGACAATCCAGACCTGAAGACTGGATCTCAGGAATAGAATAAGTAAGATCCTGTGTGATTTGGAAATAAAACTGGATCTTTTAATCCAGATGAGAAGATCAGAGTTAGAGAATTAGAAAAAGATACTTTTTGTAGGCAGGTGGTTCTTGCCAGTTAAAAAAAAAAAAAAAAAAAAAAACGGATCTCTTAATCCAGACTCAAGAGCAAGATATATTGAATAGAAGAATTAAAATTCTTTGTGGAAGTTGGAAATCCAAATGGATTACGCAATATATACCAGGAGAAGACACTAAGAGAATAAAATGAAATAGTCTGGGATCTTGAAATTTAAACGAATCACCCAATCCATACAATACATACTTACCCTTATAAGTGATAATGTTCTGTGTGAAGCATTTCGTCCTCTAAAAAGATTTTTTCGACATTATCGTCGGGAAAAAAAATCCGATGAATTCATTTTAGAGGCCAAAACATGAAATGTTTCTACTTTGTACTGGCTAATATTATTTAAATATATAGAAATGTATATACCATACAAAACGTACACACACACACACACAAACACATATATATATATATATATATATATATATATATATATATATATATATATATATATATATCCCAATTAGGATCCGTTTAAACACACACAGAAACCTACGAAACACCATCCGCGACATACTTGTAGGAAGTCCAAGAATAATAGACTCATCCACATGTAAAAGAAAGACTAAAAATAATGGCAGCAGTAATAATAAAAAAGGAAAATTCTAACACTCAATATCATCAACTATGAACACGGCCACAATGTGCTGACCGTGTTTGGAAAATAAAATATTCCTATAACTCTAGATACATACATAAAAAATCCATATATTCAGTTAAAACTAAATCATCCTTGATATTGGCTAAAAGAATAACGCTGGAATACGCAGAATATTTGGACAATTTCTTACGCACTTCCAGTAAAGAAAAGAACACAGGAGGAACTAAATAAAGAGATTAATGGCGGTGTCTTGTCGGTCGTCTTTATTGAAACTTGTATAAAATAAGGATTGCTGGATAAATATACAATTATATATATATATATATATATATATATATATATATATATATATATATATATATATATATACATGAAGAAATATAGTTTTCAGGTGTGCTATATTTATGGGATAAATTGATCAATATCAGAGATAGAGTGTGTAAATATAAAAGTGAACATAGAAGTCAACACTTAGAAGCGACTGTCTGTTTCATGCTAGACGCAATCGTCATGCCACGAGTGTTGTTTCTTTTTATCATCATTAGTAGTCACCGTTTACAAATTCACGCTTTCTCTCCAGAGTGCTCGACCGAAATTAATTTTTCAGGGGCGTGTATATATATATATATATATATATATATCAAAATGTGTGTCTCCGTCTTTGTGGGCTAAGAAAGCTAACTGATAGAGAAAAGGAAAAAACGAAATTTTTCACTCGTCTTGTCTTTATCTAATTGTTTCATTTTATCACAGCTTTTTACTTTGAAAATTAATATCCAGGTGTTGGAAATAAAATACAGCTGCCGATGTAATTTCAATTTGTATCCAACACTCAGGGTGTTCGTTTTATGTGGACGACATTTTAACCAATTCGACTAATGTTTTTTATTTATTTATTTATTATTTCTACTTATTATAATTTTTTCTCTGTAATCAAAACGAAAATCAAAAGAAAATAAATGCTCGTAAGTGTAATCTTAATATTTTTTTAGATATTTACAGTTTCAGGATATTGTTTATTGTGATGGTCCCATCCCAAGCAGCACAAACGGCTTCACACTTTTCCGCCACTTCAGCCCGCCATGTGCCATGTAAATATATATCTAAAAACTGATTGTTATAAACTAATTTTGAAATTGACAATTTTGCAATTTAAAATAAAATAAGGTTTCGTTATTTACAATTTTAAATCACCTGAATTTTAAATCAATTTGTTTTTTAATTAAAACAAAAAAAATATCTAATAATTTCATCTGTTTTAATCTTAAAAAAAACTGAACTAGCCTCATATTTTCAAACTAAATAGAGGTTTTTCTGTTTAAAAATTATCAGCACGCCATATCATTAGTTCTAACCTTAAACTAAATCAAAGGTTTTTTGGTTGTTTAAAATATACTCAACCTATTATTTTCATACGAAATCAAGCGTTTTAGTGCTAATAAATTTACGCTGCCACATATTTTTAAATCGGTTTTAGCCTTAAAAAAAAAAGGGAATTACTTGCCTCATATTTTCATACTAAAATAAGATTTTTTTGGTGATTAAATATTTCAGATATACTGAGGCGGCGAGAATTGGCGCAAAAGAGTAATACTTGCTAGAAATAATTGCTGGCAGTCATAGTACTGGTAATTCCAGAATTCACACTGGATCGTGTTAACATAATTTTGGCGACTGTGATAGTAATAGTAGTATTAATAGTGGTATCATGTGAAACCGAAGCAGAAATAATAAACTCGGCGATTATCGATCTGACTGGGAATAAGTTGCAACTCGGTTATTAATACGGAAACAAGGAAAAAGTCTACAGACGCTGGTGTTTATCGTAAATTTATTTCATTGTAACCGTAGGTGTGTGGATGTCTTTGTGTCTGTGTGTCTGCGTTTGGGAAGGAGACGAACGAAATTAATGGAAGTGAGAGGGGGGACGGAAGAAAGAAAGAAAATAGAGAAGTGATTAAAGTAATAACGAAAAGAAAGAAAATGATTGAAATAAAGCTAGAAAGAAAAAAGCCAACAGAAAAATAAGAAAGAAACTGTAAAAGAATATACGAATGTGATTAAATCTAGAAAAAAAATGAAAGAAAGAAAAGGTAAATGAAAAATATGATTAAAAAATAAACAAAGAAAAACATAAGAAAGCAAAATATAAAAAATGGCTAAATCAAGAAAGAAAAGACGAAAGAAAGAAAAGAAAACGAGAAAGGTAATTGAAAGAAAGAAAAAAAGAAAGAAAAACGGAGAAGAGATTAAAGAAAATAATTAAAAGAAAGAAAGAAATGTGAAAAATAAGAAAGACAAAAAAAGAAAATAGACAAGTCATAAAGAAAGAAAATGATTGAAATAAAAGCTGGAAAGAGTAAGAAAGACAAAAGAAAAATAAGAAAGAAAGAAAGAACATACAAATGTGATTAAATCCCGAAAAGAAAATGAAAGAAAGAACAGGTAAATGTCAAATATGATCAAAAGGAAAAACGAAAAACTGAAAGGAAAAATAAGAAAAATACAAATGTGGTTAAAATCAAGAGAGAAAAAAATAAAATGAGAAAAGTAATTTAAAGAAAGAAAGAAAGAAAGAACGAAAAGATGCGGGGTTAGAATGATTGAGAAAAATGGCGTCTATCCCGAACACATCAGGCACTGTGTAACGCTTTTCATGGTTGATTGCTTTCAATATTCCACCGAACACGGTAACGTCGTGAGTTCCGCCATAGCTACTGATACTGCCGCCACTAACGCCATCGCCGCTACCACCTCCATGCTTCTATTAATCTGAACGCGGGTTTATTTTTCTGCACGCAGAACAAATAAGACATCTTTATTTATTGGCAGAGAAAGATGGAATAATCGGATCGAGAATGAGAGACGCTGTGTGCGATGGTTGCTAAAAGACAGTGAAAGTTGCTAACGTAGAAAGGTTTGTAGGTAAGAGAATCAATGAGACGAATAAGATAGGAGAGAAATATACGACACTAAGAGGGTGGCTGGTTGAAATTCCCGGTTGGTTGGTTGGAAGGAAGAGACAGTTAAAGAAATTTAAAGGAAGACCTATAGACTATAGACAAAACATTAGAAGGAAATCAGAGATGTAAAAATGAGATAGAAAAAATAATAGGAAGAGAAGGTAGGAAAATGATAAAACGGCTTCAGGTGCAAGTGGGGAGTAAATGGGGAGCAAATGGGGAGCAAATGGGGAATAGGGGAAAGATGCTTGAGAGAAGAGGGATGACAAAATGTGAATGCTGTAAAGTTACACCACCCCCCCCTAAAAAAAAAGAGAAACTCGAAAATTAAAAGAATATAGAAAGAGGTTACATGAGCACGTAGAGAACGAGTGGGGAGTAGGAGAAAGATAAAAAAAAGATGTGTTTAAGAGGAAGGGAAGGACAAAACGTAAATGCGGTAAACTTGTGACCCCCACAAAAAAAAAAAGAACAAGATGGAAGAGAAGCTCAAAGACCGAGAAGAATATAAAAAGAGGTTACAGAAGCAAGTGGGGAGTAAGTGGAGAGTAAGCTGGAAACAATTGGGGAGTAAGTTAGAAACATGTGGGGTGCAAATGGGGAGTAAGATGGAAAACAATTGGGGAGTAAGTTGGAAACAAGTGGGGAGAAAAGTTAGAAACATGTGGGGTGCAAATGGGGAGTAAGATGGAAAACAAGTGGGGAGTAAATTAGAAACAAGTGGGGAGCAAGTTGGCAGTAAGTGGGGAGTAAGTTGGAAACAAGTAGGTAGTAAGTTAGAAATAAGTGAGAGTAAGTGGGGAGTAAGTTAGAAACAAGTGGGGAGTAAGTTAGAAACATGTGGGGTGCAAATGGGGAGTAAGATGGAAAACAATTGGGGAGTAAGTTAGAAACAAGGGGGGAGTAAGTTAGAAACATGTGGGGTGCAAATGGGGAGTAAGATGGAAAACAATTGGGGTGTAAGTTAGAAACAAGTGGGGAGTAAGTTAGAAACATGTGGGGTGCAAATGGGGAGTAAGATGGAAAACAATTGGGGAGTAAGTTGGAAACAAGTGGGGAGTAAATTAGAAACAAGTGGGGGGCAAGTTGGCAGTAAGTGGGGAGTAAGTTGGAAACAAGTAGGTAGTAAGTTAGAAATAATTGAGAATAAGTGGGGAGTAAGTTGGAAACAAGTGGGGAGTAAGTAGGGAGCAAAAGTGGAGCAAATGGAAAAGAGTGGAGTGTAAATGGGGATTACGGGGTGAGTAGGAAAAAAAAGAGTTGTTTGAGAGAAGAGGAAGGACAAAAAGTTAAAGTGGTAATGTTGCACCTCTATACATATACACACAGAAAAAAAGAAGATAAAAAGAGAATCTCAAAGATCGAAAAATATATATATATATATATATATATATATATATATATATATATATATATACGGTGAATATTTGGTTTGAGCGTGATGAATTTAATATGTAGTACAAGAATTTAATTTTTAAGAAAGAGAAAAAAAAAAAAAACACAAGAAAAATGAAAAAAAAAGTAAAATAAATAGAAATGAAAAAAATTCTTTTTCTTCCTATCTATTTAAAGACGTAACGAAAAAAACAAATTTCCAGGAGAAAAAGAAGAAAAAGCATACGAAAATAGAAAAGAATAAAAGACATGGGACAAGTTAAAAAGAAAGAAAAAGAAGAAAGCAGTAAAAAGAATGTAATAAAAAGGAAAAAGAAAAGCAAAAAAGAAAAGAAAAATAAGAAAAAACTAAAAGGAAAATTAAAAATTTTAAAAGTAAAAAAGGAAATAAAAAAAGTAAAAGATGAAAGAAAAAGTATAAGAAGCTGGAGTTAAAAGAAAAAGAAGCAACTGGGAAAGAAAAAGTAGTGCAAACAGGAAAGATAATAGAAAAATAAATGAAACAAAAGAAGGAAATAGTATAAAGGAGGAAAGAAAAATGAAAAAAAAAGAAGAAAGCTAAAGGAAAAGAAGGAAAAAGAGAAAAGGCGAAAAATGAAACGTGAAAAAGAAAAGGGGAAAAAGAAGGAAAAGAAATAAAGAGGAAAAAGAAAAAAGTGAAAAAAGGAAAAATGGAATAAATAAAGAAAAAAACAGGAAATAAAAAAGAAGGAAAAAGATAAACAAAAAGTAAAAAATACGACAAAAATAAAAAGCAGAAAAAAGAAAAAGAAGAAAAGAAAAATGTTTAAAACAAAAAAGAAACGAAAAAGAAAGGAAAAATAAAACAAAAAAAGACAGGACAAAAGAAAGGAAAAAAGAAAGAGAAAAATTCAAAGGTAAAATTTAAGATAATTTTTCAATCTAAAACCGTAGAATCTGAACACGAATCTATATTCTATGCCGAAACGTTCGCAAAGCGATCCACTTCGCAAAATCTGATCAATTAGCTAAATATCAAAATGTACTTATTTATTGATTGATTTAGCCGTGAAAAGCAAGCAGACCTACAAAAATAGAGAAAATATTTTACTATTTAAAACGGGTCAAAAAAGAAAATTCACAAAAAAAAAAGGAAAAATTTAAGAAAGTAAACAAGTAAAAATATATTTAACAGACGAAAACTGCTAAGTTAGTGGTGTTAACAATTAAAATGAAATTTATTATCAACAGCTAGTGAGATAAGTATCGCTGTTGGAATAGGTACTCGACTTTATGAAGGGACAATACGAAAAAGATAACGAAAAGAAAGGAAGAGGTCGAGAACTGGCAGTTTAAGTTGTTGTTTGTGGTTGTTGTGATTGAAGGTGGCGGTGGCGGTGGCGGTGACCGTGGTAGTTGTTGTTATGGTGGTAGTTGTGGTGGTGGTGGTAGCGATGAGGAACTAAACGAAAGATTAGCTAGGCGAGGCGAAGGCATTTTCGTAATGGGATTGTAGTTCGCCATTTTGATAAAACCGTTTTACCACGCCTAGGGCGAACTCGAAAAACATTGCGCACACACACACACACACACACACACACACACACACACACACACACACACACACTCACTCACCTCACATACGAGGGGGTGCTTATAAGAAAGAAAGAAAGAAAGAAAGAAAGAAAGAAAGAAAGAAAGAAAGAAAGAAAGAACTGGACGGGAATATATAAATAAATTCCAAGGGACGAAGAGGTAGAAAGCGGGGGAAAAAAAAACAGACTGATTCCGAAAATATCGGATAACGCATAAGACTATCAATATTATTGTATTTCTCCGGTTTGGCATTTCTCTGTTCCCGCCGTCTGAATCGAATTATAGGTGTGTTGTTCAATGGCACTGCATCTAAAAGAAACTGAAGACAACAATGTTTTCAATCAATATGCTTAAAACTTCATACTCACGCCACTCTGTCCAAAGTTGCACGACCTTAACGAACCGAGAAATCCATCACGGTCATTTACAGTGTTCTATAGCAGATATAATTACATACATTCATTACGACAGAGATATACAAACTGATAAACTCTTTTTATTCGAAACATATTTATTCAAAGCATACGAGCCTTCATTTAAAAACGTATAAAAAAGTTTAAATATCTATGATGTGTTTTAACCCTTTGTCTGTCCCGCGCAGACGCACAGGACGTGATTTCTACGTCCGTGAATCATATGCGGGGCACACGAGCCTGATTTTAAAAGAGCGGTAAAACAAAGGACACTTAAGAAGAAGAATCTACTTTTGAACAGGGCCTCTGAGGAAACGCCTAATCTGATATTTTGTACATTATATATGATCACAGAACGCTTGACCGAAAATATAAGGTCTCAAGTGAAAGACATTTTTCCACATCATTGAAATGATTATAACCCGTGCATCACATGTGATGCGTAGAGCTTAGAACTTAGGATTTGTACGTTCTCTCCATCACATGTGATGCACGTTTTTATTATGTGAAACATATATATATATATATATATATATCAGCACATTCTATTTGTCAAACAAGCGGAGTTGCCTTGCAATAGTTATAAATCTGAAAACAATCATGAATGTTTGGATAATACACAGGAAAATGGCCTGACAGGCAAAGGAATGACAAATGACGGAAAAACGTGACACGGACAACGGAAATAGCGAAAAGTGCCTTCCATGTGTATATATATATATATATATATATATATATATATATATATATATATATATATATATATATATATATATATATATTTAAAAATATTTTTTGAAGGTACAAAATCTAATTACAGAAATAAAAGTGTGTATAATATTATAAGACATGTTAAAAGCGAAGAACTGGTTTTGCTCCCTCGAAACTTAAATTTAACTTAAATTAAAACAAGAGAAAATGTAATGAGAAGGAAAAGGGAAAAAAATGAACACAATGAGCTAGAGAATATATATGCTGTCTAATATAATACGTTTATAAAAAAATTCAATTGATCCGCAGTACAAAATTCCGGAGGAAAAAAAAAACTAAGACATATTACTCTATTAATTGAACTATGTACTTAGTTCATGTCACGTTAACTGGAAAACATTGACAACAAAAGAATTCGTGAATTTACCAAACTACCAAATTCATATAAAAATTCTCACTTGAAATATTTGAACTTTAGCGGTGCGACTTGCACGTTCCAATATTATATAACCGTTAATAAATAACAATTTCTTAAAAAAATATCTTTCGGTCTACAACACATTTATTTCGTCTCCAAGTTTTGATGTTAAAGGAAAGAAATTACAACCTGACGATGAGGACATGATGTCTTTGAAAGTACTTGCTTCTATAAAAAATGCACTAGATCCATCTGACAACAATTTTATACATAAGGATCGTATTATTCAGTGGATTGTTAGTAGTTTAATGCTTATATTAAGTCTATTAGCGAAGAGATTTCGCCATTAATGTCATTAATATAGCTTATTGATTCAATGTATGATCATTTCTTTATAATATATATATATATATATATATATATATATATATATATATATATATATATATATGAGATAACGATAAAAGTTTACTTGTGATGAGTTTCTCCCTTCAGGACTTCATCGGACTAAATTTGTTTTGTTGGTGCGACTGCACATGCGCACAAACGAGGCGTGCTGGAAATTTCAGATGTTTTTTATCGAGCTGAATTCATTTAGAGTCTTTTCTTTGTTTTTCTATCCCTCACTGTGATATTAGAAAATCTGCCAAGAATGGTTAAATGTTGTAAGAACCAGGCCGCGAATTTCCTGTCGATGGCCTTGTGATCAAGGTACTCTCAAGACATTTACGCCGTACTGAATTATTTTCTCCTTTGATCAGAGTAGCATTTTTTTAATGCCAGAATTGTGGCCAGTCTCGTTACGATGGGCCATCAACGCGTTTGACGTATTGTTTTGTAAAATATCTCTTTTGTGTTCATATAATATTTTATTTAGATTCCTTGAGGTTTTATCTATGTACAGACATAGAAATAAT